CGCCCGTTCGTGAAAACGTTTTATTGCACGCACATGGGATTCGCCCCTTCATGATATACGCACCATTGTGTTAAGCCCGGTTCATACTTCATGCGAAAGCGAAAGCGAACGCGAATCTGTGACGTCATGGCAAGTATTCGCGCTGCGAATTCGCAAAAGTTGAACACATTTCAACTCGGACGAATTTCGCAGCGAAAGTTTCATGACGTCAAATTCGCTTCGCATTTGCATTCGCATGAAGTATGAACCGGGCTTTACAATGTTTTTATTTATTGAAAATGTATTAATACCATAGAGTGCAGAAATTCGCCCCTTCGTGAAAACGCAAAACGGCACTTTTTGGCAAATTCGCCCATTCGTTAATTAGATTAATTAAGATTTTAATTGTTTTTTTTTAAGTATAGCCTCACCACGTTGTAGATATTGATATATTTATTCATTTTCACCAACAAAACCCACCAAATTTCGGAAAAAGGGACGATTTTCATGAAATTCGCCCCTTCGTAAAAACGGTGACGGAATTACCGGTGCTTTACTGGTGCCACGTTTGGGAGGAAATCACACCACAATGATAATTTTACAGGGCCCTCTAGTGTTCACTGAAGTGTATCCAAGTTATTTTGTTGATTATTGGCAACACGTCATCCTTTCCAAATTTTAGGAAAATGGCTATCGCATATTAATGATGAACATGTGACGCTCGGTTCCGAGAAGACTCAAACTACCCTGGTCCTTATTTCCGGCCGAATTCGCCAAAGTGATGTTTAAATTAATTTTTCTGCGTTCAAATACTATCATGATCATATTGGAGGAAATTATTTTAGTAAAATGCAGATTCGGAATTAAGAATCCACACTTCGAACATGTCGGAAAATTGTTTTCCACAATGAGCATTAATAGGGCCGTCTGCATGAAAACTTTCATTCCGAAAATTACCAATGCATCTTCACTGTCACAGCCGTCACTGCAAAAACTACTTTTGAGCCGGAAAGAAATCGTCGTATGATGAACTATCCAAAACACCAGAATGATGGTTGTACGGGTGTGGCGATACACATGCTAAACACGCCACAATGCTTGATTACGTATAAGAGCCTCGAAAAAAATCCCTTGTAAATTACCCTTAGGCCCCTCCCCCCCCAAAAAAGTCTCCGGTTTCTGGTATGGAGCTTGCCCAAAAAGTGGTGCGGCGACGCGGCTTTTTTTTTTTTCACCTGTTTTTTGTTTTGCTTCAAATGTCGGCTGATGACTGCAAATGGTGCCTGACTAAACTTAGTGCAAAAATATGGGAGTCCAGAGAGGCCACGTAAAGCTTATTCTCGATCATAACCACATCTAAAAACACGTTAAAATTGTGCAGCAACAGGTTCCAGTCCAACCAGTGAGTTTGGCGGTTTTGAGACATCATCTGTTATTGAAAAACTGTTCTTTATTTTGCCGACGCGCATGGCTACGGCGACGCGCGCGCATACCAGAAGCCGGAGACTTTTTTTTGGCCTTATTGCCACAACTCGACACGATCTCCACTCAATGGACTGTTAATGACGATACTTGGCAATGGTTTAACCCTAAAAGGGCCGAGGCGGAATCCGCCCCCCCCCCCTTTCAATTTTTTCCATTGATAGCCTTAAAAAATTGATAGCCTTAAAAAAACAAATTTGGGACCCGAGCGTAGCAAAAACTTTTCCGTGAATTTTCCCATATACGTCGTGTACACAGAGCACAATATTACCATTTACATATGAATACATCGTACATACGAATAATTAATTAGCCATAATTCCAAAACCTTTTGACCTATAGTCATGACATGACATTTCTTGGGTATGTTTATGATGAGGTGCTCTATGCATGTACCGAATTACAAAGGTTTTTGTCACTCGATGGCCGAGATCTTAGGGGGAGCGGAATCCGCCCCCCCCCCCCCCGGCTGAGAGATGGCCTGATAAGGGTTAAGTCGGAGAATACACGAGCAAGTGTGGACTCTTAATTTACGAATCCACTCGGGGTTTCGCGCCTCGTGTATTCTTAAATTAAAGGCAGAGTCGTCGCAAAAGAAACAGGACAGCTAAATCCCGATACACTTTTACTTTCTTTTTCGTCTAGGGGCAATGAATTATTTTAATTAGAAGCTGTTCAAATTTGTCAGGTATAAAATGTTGTAATGATTATAAAACGCTCATGCATTTTATTTTTAGAAGACGGAAACATTTTAATACAACTGACGTTCTCTGCTGTTCTCCCACTTTCTCCGAATTCTGGTTTTCCTCCTGTTCTCCGATATTTACCTCCCATATTTCTCCCTAAAAATGTTTTTTAGTGTTTCATTGTATCTTCTTTACAGATGAACATCTGTATGGCAACTATTCTTTCAATCGCCCTCCTTCTGGGTAACTCTGTCAAGCTACGAGCTTCCGTTACTGGGCCGGTTTCCTCGGACGGCGATTGTCCTTCATCTGATGAGGCGTGTCCAATGTGCTCCCAGGGACCGGCTGGAATACCTGGAATTCCAGGTCTGCCTGGCTATCCAGGGTGCAAGGGCAATGTAGGTCAAAAAGGTGAGATTGGACCAATCGGCCCAAAGGGCGAGATTGGTTCGATTGGACCCATGGGTGATGAGGGAGCAGTTGGGAGCCCTGGGCCTAAAGGGGACGATGCCATAGGCCTGCCAGGCGTGATAGGTCCAATAGGTCCAACTGGTGTCAAAGGTCAAAAGGGTGAGCCAGGAGAGACACCAGACGACTCCAACCAGCGGGTAGCATTCACCGTGGTGAGGACGAGCCACTCGGATACCTCTACGAGTCTCGAAACCCGCTTGCCCTTCCAGGAGACCGAGACGCTTCTGCCGGGTACCAGCTTCGATCTCGGGACCGGCACGTTCACGTGTGGTGTGCCGGGCACCTACGTGTTCATGTTTTCTGTGTGCAAATATCCTTCCAGCGGCAACCTGTACGTTCTTCTCCGGAAGAACGGCGACGTGGTTGTCTCTGGCCTTAGCAATGATTCAAGTCACATTGAGCAGGTGTCTGGGAGCGCGGTGGTGATTCTGCAGCGTGGAGATACGATGTTTCTCGGCATGGCTGGTAGGGCGTATCGTCACTACACCTCATTCAGTGGCTTCCTCCTTTACCCCGAATAAACACAATCCAACACACCCAGATACACGAGCATCGTGTTGCTGATTTTTTATCGCTTTCCATTTTTGCCGAAACAATAACCAATGAAATAAAACAAATAATATTCAAAGACAATGTCACAAAAAAAATATTATCATTAATGTTTTTGCATTGCGCATGCGCCGATCTGTATACTACAATGGATTTGCCATTTTTGTTGTTGACTTTTTGCAAAACAAAAATATTTAGCTTTATATGCACGAGTATTGAGATATAGTGAAAAGTATGCGTTAAGTTTTTTGACAACGATTTTTTTCATTGTGTTGATTGTAGGCCAATAGGGAAGTATTTGGATGGAATTCTTTTCTCAAAGGAAGCTGGGTCATAATTTTTTTTTCGAAACAAAAGGTTTGCAATAAAGCAGTGCCACCATGTATCCAGAAATGTTAACAACTAAAAACAGATTGTGTTTATGGCGTTATCTCGACCAACCTGGATTTTTTAGGCCATGTTTCTGACCGCCATTTTTTTTTATTGCCACACTTGGTCAACATATATAATAACGTGTTTTTTTGCCCGAAAATAAATGCAACTTGTTTGTAGCGTATTGGGTATTTAAAACAGATTAATTAAACACAATAACTGTATCCTAATTAAAGCAAACAAAGTATAAAAGACATACAGACAAACAAACACAATATTTTGCTACCTACCTGGATAATTTTAGGGCGTTTACTGTAACATGTTATTTTCTTCGCCTTATGTTCCTGTATGCCAAGCACAGATGATGTCAATTAAATCAATCCCATGCATGTATCAATTTTTATTTCATGTCACGAAAAAAGTCTCGAGTGATTAAATCTGATTTTCTAATAGACTTTAAGCTTGGCAGTTGGATTAACAATTGTTTGAAATATTCTAATGTTCATTGTTGATAAATACTCCATTTTTTCGTTTGGCTTGGCTTCGTTATGAAAGAAGTAAACATGATTTTAATTACTTTCACTTCAGTTGAAAAAGAAATGTGCCCACAGTAATGAAAAAAGTGGAGTTGGCTGTTGTCTTTAAAGCCCGTAGAAGTGCGACAAGTGTTTCTTGATTAACAGACTCCAAATTATTTGAAGTCTTCCATTGTTCTTAATCAGCATTACTTGATTGCATTCAAGAAACTTACTTTCAAAACTTCAGTGAAAGTGTGAGCCCGTTAGATGGTAAAGAAACAATCTCAACGAAATCAATTAACACAAAGCACAAATTCCATTCAAGTGAGGAGGGTCTTTCAACTGGTTGGAATTGTCCTTTGTCACTTTATCATTTCAAGTGCATTTCTTTGTATTGACTTTTATTTGGATGCCATATTTGGCATCCCTGCTGACAGCATATCCTTGGATAATGTCTCCAGCCAGCACATGTACATGTAAGCTGAACAAGTACGCTTCCTGAGAATAGGTAGACTCCTCCAAGAAATCAAAGAAAAGGTTTTAATGGACCCTTCCTGCACGTCAATCAACAGTGCACATTGGCCAATCAGATCACCACTTTTGATCAGGTGACCACAGTAGCTCAGTCAGACTGGGTCACAAGCACTGTTAGATCTATTGCTCACCCCGCCCCCATTTTTTGCACCAGCAGTTAACACCCCCCCCCCCCCCCCCAGTATTCTGTAAAGAGTACCCTTTTTACACAAGTAACTTTTTAAAGATGGCGGTATCCGCGAAACGGCTCATGGAATTTTGTACGTTAACTTTTGTTTGTCTCAGATTTTGGCGTTCTGCGTCCATTTGTATATCATGTTTAGACAATATTTTACAAGCTGCGTTGACGCAATTCCAACGTGATAGGTTAATTGTCCGATAGTGGCCATTATCGCCGGTTTGTACTTACATGACAATGAGCTGAGCCTCCTGGGAAAGTTGGCGAAGCCATTCACGGATCCGTATCTGTCTGTTGGTCTGAAAGAAAAAAAAAAGATTTCAGGCGAAAAAATGTCGTGATTTATTGATGTTTACTAAAGTCGAGTTCCATGCACTTGGCAAATCAAATGAACTGAGAGTTGTACGGAAAAATGGATTGAAAGTGATCAATCTCATTATTGAAAATCACCCACCAGAATGTCAAAGGTTGGACACGATTAACAGATGTTGCAAGACTGGACTTAAAAACACACAAACCAGGGACTAAGCGTAAAGTGGACACTAGGAAAGCTTTAAGTGTATTGTCTCCATGCATGGACAAAAGAGGGCGCTTTATAGTCAAACAAGCAGAAGCCGGAATGAGGGGCACTTCACTGGTTCACTCATGCTGGTTATCGTGTATTTGGTACCAGCATTTATAAGCCACGATGGCGCCCAAATGGCCCCCGTTTATAGTTTTCTCTGTGGAGGGGGGGGGGGGTGCTTGAGCGCAAGAAGGAGATTCTACCTTCTCGTTGAGCGTAGTGACTTCTTCCTTGCTGATCTTCCAAGGAAATTTCTCCGTGGTCTCCCCTGCTTCTTCATCCAGCATCCAGGGTTTGGACAGCTCCTTGAACCGTCTCAGGCTCTACTCCTTGGGCTTCTTGTTCAGGTCCGGGATGACCTCCACGTCCGAGTAGTTGATGTGGAACTTGCTGAGCATGTTGGCCATGTTCATCTTCTCCCTGTCCATTTGCTCCTTCTTGCCCGAGGCGGCAAAGACGCGCAGCCTGCATTTCTCCCAGTTGGATTTCAAGGAGATGAGGTTGGGATGAGTAGGGTCAAGCCTGGGGGGGGGGGGCAAGGGCGGATCCAGAACACAATTTTTGGGGGGGGCCAAAAAAATTTGGTCCCCCCCAAAAAAAAGTGGGTCTAAAAAATTACGGCGTGGGGTTCGGGGCCCGTCAGGGCCCCGAAAAAATTTTGGATTCTAGATGCTCTGTGGTGCGATCTGAGGCAATTTCTGACCACTTTAACCAATTTTTTTGAGGAAAAGATGGTGGTGTACTCATTGCCTGCCTTTATTGCGATGTCACATTAAAAAAAAAAAAAAATTGGTTTCGTTTTGGGGGGGGCCATGGCCCCCTTTGGCCCCCCCCCTGGATCCGCCCTTGGGGGGGGGGTGGTGGGAGGTGGGGGCTGAGGGGGGGGGGGGGTTCACAAACAAAAATTATACAGAGCATTATTTCCCTTTGACATAAAGCATGTGTTTCCTTCGACATGCAGCCATCCAGAATAACCTGAGAGATCTCTGAAAGGCTCCATGAAATGAATAGGACACTGAAACAAAATAATAAAGCCAACCAAGAACAAAAAGTGTGGTGTTTTCTATTAGGAAAAAAAAAAGTCGGTTTCTGGTCGGCGCGCGCGTCGATTTTAATCATGCGCGTCAATCTTTTTTTTCCAAAATGTTTCGCGGTAGCTCCGACAGCGCCCTCTATTGCCGCATCTCCTCAATTTTTTGTTAACAAAGAGCACCAAGGAATTGGAAATTGCTAGAGAGCACCATCGAGAGCACCAAGGCAAATTATGGAGGACACCAATGTACATGAGGACACCAAAAAAGCAAAATAGTACCCCACCTTGGGCCAAGTTCGTGCAAGGACAATAGTTGACCAATGGTTAACTAACGTTTGCCCGAACTCTGTCTAGCGATTGACTACGCTAGTCGACTATTTGGAACCAGCCTACTGGGGTTGGTTGCTTCGCTGGTAACCAATAGCAGTGCGTATATATTCATAACGCTAGCAGAGAGCCAGGATCCGGAAGTTTTGCGATGACATTTTGACCAGCATTTGATTAGAGACGTTCGCACGTTGCTATCAGTGCGCAGGCTTAAGGTACGTCACAAATCAACCACTAGTCGACTAATGGTCCCTGCCCGAACTTGGCCTTGTCTGTACAATCCAAGCTTGAAAAAAAAAAAGCCAAAAAAAAAAAAGCCACGTCCCCGTGTCAATTCCGGAACTTTGGTCTGACCAGAGACCAAATATTTTTTTTGGGTCTACATATATAAGAAACAACTGTGTGGTAGGGTAGGTAAAAATCTGTTTTTGGGGGTTTGACATTTCTATAGCCTAAAAATATAAGGTGGGATGATAGTCATTAAAATTTACTTTTTTCTCTATTTTGCATGCATTAGTTAACATGTGAATCATTCACACAGCAATAACTTACGATCAGCACTGCTCCGCATATGAGAAGGCTTGTGCTCTTGGTGATATGGGAGACGAAGTGAACCAGGGCAGGCCTGCATCCAGGGCGACCAGTCAATGCAATAATCTGTGGCCTGTACAGGGAAATACAACAATCCACAAATTGAAAGGAAGAGGGAATAGAACCTGGGACCTCCGGATTGCCGTTCCAGTGCTCTACCAACTGAGCTACCAAGCTCCATCGTGTTTAGTCTCCCACTTTGTCAATGTCTATGTTAAGAATAGGCATTGGTCAGAGTTGTAATGACTCAAGTCGACTCGAGTCACAATTTTATGCAAAATTTATGTACACATTACTTTGCGAATGCAGTACGGTACAGCTGCCGCTTGGGTACAACTCTAGAATGCAGGTCCACTATATACACTCTACGTCTTGTTTGTCTATTTTTCATGACTAGTTATCTGACTAGAATTCAATTCAACGCGTCACTTAATTTGTAAGATATAGCGTGTCCAGCTGGACTGTCGTTTCTGTGCAAAAGTGAGGCAAATGTTCTTTTTGGACTTCAGGCAGCCTATCGCCAAGTTTTTGTATATTCTTTTTAATATTTTCTAACTCCGAGTCATTTTATTTTTTCAAGTCATTAAAGAAACACAAGTTAAATTCAATAGGGTAACGCGTTATTTCACTTTGTTTTGGGGATTGTTTCAATACATATCTAATTTACATTATTGGATCTATATAGGGATAATAGTTTTCAGCCATTTCCAATTGGTTAATTATCAACATTACCTTTTTAATAAAATTGGTCAAAAACTTCACTTAAATTTCCTCTAGACAATGCATCCTAGCTTTTCATTCACCATGTTCACACGACTTTCAAAATATTTATAAAAGAAATACCAAAAAATGCTCTGCTCAAACCACAAAAATAGCTGCCTAAAATTTGAATGAATGTCCGAAAGCAGGTTTTTGGTTATCACAATATTTGTTTGTCTTTAAAGTGTGAATAAAAAGTCTAGACCGTCTTAGGGCGGTAGTCTTATTAGTCTTACGTTATCGAGTTGTCTGCTGCGCTAGTCGGACAATAATGGGATATCATCAAACAACAGGCGGCGCCCTTCACAATTAACGGTGTCAAGTGACAATCTCATACCACATTAATTTCCCGCATTAACTAAACAAAAATAAAAACGGATAACGAAACCATTTCCCAATTCCTAAGCAAAAATAAAAACGGATAACGAAAACCACTCCCCCACTTCCCGACTCGAAAGCAAAACGGAAAACGAATAACGATTCTAAAATCCCAAATCATATCTCGAAAGGAATTGGGATTTTTCAATGCATGATGGGAAATTTCGGACTACGAAACTTTTTTGCAACCTCGTCCCCAGGGCTAACTTTATTTTGTAACTTTCTTTCCTGTATTAAGTACCTGTCAGTGCGTACCGCTCAACACTACGTAAACGAGATTGTATATGACACCGTTAATTGTGAAGAGCGCCACCTGTTGTTTGGTTATCCGATATCAACATTATGGACGGTAGTGGTAGGCTAGGCCTGCGCCTGTACATCAGGTAAGTCTGGACTATTAACTTGTCAAAATTCAACTTCCTTTCGGCGTACTGGAAAGATTCCCATATCTGGACATCACTCATTTTTCCCTTCAGTGATTTATGCCACCATTCCTGTCTAAAATTGTAAAAAATATTGGATTGGCAGGGAAATTTGTTACCAAAAAACTATAGTCGGACTCCCTACCCTAGCCTAGGCTTATCGTGGCATCCCTTTATCGCGGCACGGGAAAATTTCTCTTTTTGTGTTGCCTAAACTCCTTTAACTTTAAGTGGCGATTTTTATCCAGTTCTCCAGGCCATAAGGACTTACTGCCGAGTCGTATCAAAAGGACGATTAAAAAATGTTGTGTCTTTCGGGACTTGAAATTTTAACGATTTTTAATAAATATTCACATTTGCCAAAACCTGCAAATTTTCCCTCACTGTGTCTGCTAAAAAAGGTACCGTCTATACTCTAACATTAATCATTAATGGTGCTCTGTCCATGGAAGTTCCATTGTCTGGTTCCCCTCCTACAGCTGCAAACACAAAATGAAGTTGAAGGACGACATAGGCCTACTGCGAAATCGTAACAACTTTTACAGGATCAAAATAAGGACAGCGCGTAAGAAAAAATAAAACGGCACACCGTGTAAACTCAATGGCGCCCCCAATCACCAATCAGTAGATAGATTTGTCACATTAATTTTCTTCTCCTTTCGGGGAAGGGCAAGGTTTTAAGAAATCATCCTGCAGGGATATAGTCTTTCAAAGTTTAATCAACTTGAACGTTACAGGGAAAATATCAGACTGTATTCAGGGGATGTTTTGGTAAAACATTAACTATAGAAAAAAAGTTGAGATTATATATTATAAAAACCACAATTCCCACATACCGCGATAATAGGGAGTCCACCTCCATTCGCACATTCCGAGCATGTCTATTTTCACAGGCATTTGAAAAGGAAGAGTTATACAACCTAAGAGACAGGACAATTCAGGAAGGTTAGCGGGCAATCTCTATTGAACGTTACAAGAAACGTGATAAGTACATGTACCGCGATAATACGGCGTTCCATCCTACATGCTTACTGACACTGCCAGCATCCTACTGTCTGAAAAAACACCAAGGACATTTCACTAAATGTCCAGAACTCCAGGTATGGGATCTTTCCGGAGTATTTTTTAACCCTAACCCACCTCACTCCTCCAAAATCCTCCTGGCGGTTTTGGAGGATTCTAGAGGATTGAGGATGAATGGTGATTGAATCAAATGAGGATTCTGGAGGATTGAGGATGAATGGTGATTGAAGCTCATGATGATTCTGGAGGATTGAGGATTGAATGGTGATTGAATCACATGAGGATTCTGGAGGATTGAGGATGAATGGTGATTGAGGATTCTGGAGGATTGAGGATGAATGGTGATTGAAGCTCATGAGGATTCTGGAGGATTGAGGATGAATGGTGATTGAAGCACATGAGGATTCTGGAGGATTGAGGATGAATGGTGATTGAAGCTCATGAGGATTCTGGAGGATTGAGGATGAATGGTGATTGAAGCTCAAGAGGATTTTGGAGGATTGAGGATGAATGGTGATTGAAGCTCATGAGGATTTTGGAGGATTGAGGATGAATGGTGATTGAAGCTCATGAGGATTTTGGAGGATTGAGGATGTCATGGTGATTGAAGCTCATGAGGATTCTGGAGGATTGAGGATGAATGGTGATTGAAGCACATGAGGATTCTGGAGGATTGAGGATGAATGGTGATTGAATCACATGAGGATT